AAAAAAAAAAGGTGCATAACATGACCTAACCAAAAGGGTTACCTCCACCAGCATCAAGAAGCATCTTTAGCATGGATCGGGGCCCCAAAGTTGTACGAATGATGTCGGCAACAGCCTGTTACAAAACAATATAGACAAGATAAACCAATAAAACAATGAAATGATATTCCATTCCATTCAAAGGTGAATTTCCAGGAAAATTAATTCCAAAAAGACTGAAAAATTAAGCAAGAGCAGAAAAACGAAATGTTACCTTGGATGCCTGAATATTAGCACGGTGGACCTTGGTTCCAGATTCGCGTTTCAATGAATCCTCTGCTCATTTCAATTTGAGCAAAACCGAAGATCGGAAAAATTAAAAAACGAAACTAAAAGGTTATGAAATGTTAAATCAAATGGTATCTGCAGAAAGCCTCAAGCAGAAATGATTACTCTTCATAACGACAACCCCATTTTCGATATAAACACCTAGAAAATGTTTTGCTGAGATTAAAGTGCAGTTTGCAGAGGATTAGGGTTTAAGCGAGGAACTTACTTAGAACGAGAACTGGAGCGTGCATGATTCCTGTCTTCAGCAATCAAGAGTGATGCAATGGACTGCAGAACCCTAGAAGTTCTCGTTAAGAGTTCTTTTTTTTTTTTTTTTTTTTTAATTTGATTGAGTGTTTCACTCATTATTTTCATTTCTTGCAATAGAGAATTTTTCTACATCTCTAATTAATTGATCCTTATTTAATGTAGAGATGAGTTTTTGATATACAGGTTTTGAAGGTTATGCCTATTCAACCTCTTCTTTTGCTTTTTGTGACGAAACATACAATATACTTTTGAGCATATTGTACATCTCATTTTTGTAGAAGGCTATGTGAACCTATAACAGTATAAACATTTTTCCCATTGTGGCAGTTGGTTTGATTGTCATGAGCGTTTACAATCCAAATCAATCTTGATCATCATGATTCTAACATTATGCAACTTTTGATTAAGAGAATCTATAAATTGTTGAAGGTTTTGCTCTTCAGAATCTATAGCTTCCGATTCTAAATTAGATTCAAATATATCTTCTATCTTTTGAAATGATGTTATATTTCATATTCGTAGCCACTTACAAAGATAATGTCCTTCTCTTCTTCAAACTTTGCCCATATGTGAGATATCTCCATTGGTTTGTTTTTATTTGGACACTTATTTGCATAGTATGTTGGGCCTCCACATATGTAGCATTTTGTCCATTTTTGGATTTTTGGATTTTTAACATATTTCTCATTTTTACCAGTTTTTCCTTTTTTTGAAGGTTTCACTTGATCTAAGAGAATACATTTTCCATTTGACAAATTTTTTAGGTTTGGATGACAAACATTTTTTTTTTTTTGGGATTTTTTTGTATATTTTGTTGCCTATTATATGATTCTTTTGAAGAACCATGCCCTTTAGTTACAGATTTGCAAAAACCAAATGTTTGTTTTTTAAGTGACTTTTGAATTTGAATATCTACATATTTTTCTCTTAATATTATATATATAAACAAAATCCTTGGACCTACTCCTTGTTGAGGTGTAGGGTTGGATGTTAACCACTTTCTTTGATTTGTTTGCCAAGGGTGCTTGGTAACTTATCAAGGATTCTATTATTCAAATTATCATCAAATCTTTGTCTTCTTCCGACAACGAGTTTAAGAAAATCATTGTAGAAGGATTTTATTTGATACCAAGATGTGAACTTAAGGACCTCAAGTTCCTCAATAGCATAAGATTTGTCCATTCTATATACCATATACAAATATATATTTATTTAGGTTTAATTTTAATTTTATTTCTTAACTTTGTTAATTTGCACAGTGTTTTTTTGTACTTTTCACACCTATTATTTTCAAGGTAAAATCCTATGTTAAGCTCTTGAATGTATCCTAAATTTTCAATTAAATCCTTAAATTTTTATTGAAGTAAATAAACCCCTACACTTGGCAATTTGAATAATTTAACCTTTTTCCTTATGGCATACTTAACAATCATTTGTACCTTACCTACATGGACAAAGTTAATACCCACAATGGACACAATAACATGTCAATACCTTATCCATGCAAGCGATATGTAAGGTATTACATATGTCGTAAAGAAAACAGGTTACTTGCCCATATTACTGAGTTTATAGACTTATTTGCTTCAATAAAAATTTAAGGATTTAATTGAGAATCAAGGGTAAGTTCAGGGACTTAATGTAGGAGTTTACCTATCCTCAAAATGTGCACAAAAATAGTCCTTCCATTAATGGGAGTCAAACATGAGGCCTCCAAAAATTGCATTTTCCTAATTTCTTTTTTTGACATTTTTTTAAACTAAACCCCTAGTATTCGGAAGTCATATTCGATCTGACTAATTTAGAGTCGAGTAGTATTGAACTTTATAAGGGCTCTCAACACCTATCTTTCCACTCACAAAACTTAAACTCGAGACTTTATTTAAGGAAAACCAATCTATTTTCATTCAGACCAACAATTCGTTGTTTTTCATAATGTGTTTATAATACATAATACCCTAAGTTTCTTTTTTTTTTTTTTTCAAAAATACTAGAAATAAATGCATATAATATTATATGTGATCTGTTAAATAAAAAAAATCAATTATATAATGTTTAAGTAACTATTACTTTACATTGTACAAACGCTATGTAAGTAAAGATGAAAGGGGCAATAGAAGAGACATGAGACAGAATGGAGGAAAGAAAGAAGTGCCCAAAAAAAAATTCCTTATTTTAAAGGCATTTTCTGTTAGAGGATTAACTTTATCAGGAAAGTTTTTACTGAGAAAGTGTTTTAAAAAGTACCATATGAAAAGTTAATAACATTTGTATGTAAATATTGTCGAGTTGTTAACTTTTGTCACAATAAAAATAGACTTAATGCTTAATTAAGGTTAAATAAGTAATTATGATTAATTGTAGTAAAGTGATGTTATTTTTGTAAGTTGAATGATTTAATTATGAATTAAATGACAAAAAAAACATAATTACATTGGTGAGTCATGTAATTTTATGATGATAATAGATCTAGTTTTATTTCTATTTTTAATTTAATTGTTTGATTTTTGGAGGAGTGGTGCCCATCTAGACAACAATTTGGTAACAGTGATGAGTTGGCATATGGGTTGGCTCCTTTTTGGGTCAAATTTGGTGTTGAGCCCCACGAAATATGCACATGCCATTAAAAGTTTAAAGAGAAATGAATTTTTTAATCGAGTTAATGGACTATGTGAACTTTCATTTGATGGACGAAGAAAAAAAGTGTGAAAAATTGTTTAGGAAACAAAAAAAATGCATTGGAGCAAAGTTCAATGACCGAACTTAGCGAACCAAGTGGACTTTCCTTGACAAAAGTACCAAAAGAGTGCATGTTATCATAGGACAAAAGAAATGTGCAGAAAATTGTTCAAGAACTAAAAAAGTGCATAAATTTGTTCAGGGACCAAAAAGATTTATTAGCGAAAAATTTAGGAACCAAAATTAGCATTAAAACTAATTGAAAGATAGGAAATGACAACAATTCAGGAGATCAATAAGAAGACAATGGTGGCAAATTTGTAACAGTAATTTCTACCTTCTAAATATGTTCGATTGTCCGCCCTAGTTGGAAGAAAGAAGGGAAGCTTTCAAGATGTCACCAGGTCCAATTCTAGTTGTCAAATTACATATGGGAAGAAGAGGTCTAATTTATGCCAAGCAAGAAAAAAGAAGAGAACGTAAGGATTTCATAAA